TGTGGCCTGCTTTGTGGGAGTGGCTTGCCGGCCATGTGACTGTGTGGGAGTGGCTTGCCACCCATGTGATCAGGTGGGAGTGGCTTGGCAATCATGTGACTAGGTGGGCATGGCCAACTTGTAAAATGTGGTGAAACTCACTTAACAATGCTCTTGCTTAGCAACCAAAATGTTGGCTCAGAAACTCTGGCATTTGAAGCATGCAAGTCCTAAAGATGTCACGCTACAAGCCTCTTGCACCCTTAACCCTTTAGAAAAAAGAACCCCAGGGGTGTTCAAACTTGACAGCTTTAAGACTTTAAGGTTTAGATAGGACTCTTAGAGGTGGGCGGGGCGATTGGTGAGCCAGTCAATCAGTGAGTGTGGGATGGGGCAAGCATGGTGTGGACGGGCGGTGGGAGGGAGCTGGAATTGGTTCTAAACAGCATGGTAGATTTGTGGAACCTCTTCTATAGAAGAGTTTAGAATTGGCAGGAACCCACCCCTGCAACAGGTTGCAACCATTCATTTAGTGACTGTTCAAAGTTAAAACAACACTGAAAAAAATGACTTATGACCATCATTCACACTTATGTCCATTGCAACATCCAGACGATCATGTGATCAAAATTCCGACACTTGGAAACTGGCATGTATTTATGACAGTTGCAATGTTCCTGGGTCATGTGATTAACTTCTGTGGTCTTTTGGGCAAGAAAGTAAATGGGGAAGCCAGATTCACCTGACAACTGTGTTATTGTGTTACTAACTTAATTGCTGTGATTCACTTAACCAATTATAGTCATAAAATGGAGCAAAACTCAGTTATCAATTGTCTTGCTTAGCAACAGAAGCTTTGGACTCAGTTGTGGTGTACGTCAAGGTCTACCTCTACAGTAGAAATCTATTAGACCCATTTCAGGTTAACAGGTAGTATAAAAAGACATTAACCTTTAATCTCATTTCATCCGACTGACGGAGTAGCTAAACTGATGAAGGATGTTGTTAGCTTGAAAAGAAGATAGCAGATTCCTGATTTTTTTGGCTACTAGAGACTTACAGGCT